TGGCTGGTTGTTGATGGATGATGGTCGTTGTCATGTTAAAAGAAGAGTTCTGTGGGTGCTAGAGAATTCGAACTGTTCGGTTGCGAGGGTCGTTGCTGCCGCCGGAAAGGCTCTTCGTTGTGGGAAGGGTGAACAAATATGTAAGCCCTGGCAGTTTGTGTGTGGCCTTGCATCTGGCAGTGTGCCAACGCCGTTTAAGCATCAGCGATCGCGGATTCGCACTTCCCGTGTGCACTCCAAAGGGAGCCGTTTGAATCGCATCAACGGTCATTCCCTTCAACAGTGGCTACACGGGCCATCCCATTTATGGCAATTAACTATCCTGTTAATGAGTTTCTGCGAAGGGCGACGATTGGGAGGGCGCGTAACGGCCAGGTCGGGCCGTTCCGCCTCTTGGACAGTTTGGGGCCATCCCTAGGACGGTTTCTGTCACCCCTGTACTTGGGGTCAGTGTTGTCCGCCACATCCAAGGGCGGTTGGGTGGAACCTTGTACCTTGGGTGCAGCCAAAGGGACCGGTCAAGCTGGCCCTTGGGTTTGGCGGGGAGTTTGGCGGCAAGTGGGAGCGGCTATTTTAGGCGCGACCCTTTTATCTTGTTTCGCACCCGCCCGGCCCACCCTAATAGAGTGAGTTCGGTTAGCTGTGGGATGGAGAGGGAGTTGAGTACGAGGAAAGGGGATCTGAGTCTGGGTTGAGTCACCATCAGAGTGGCATTAAGTACCATGCGAAGCGAGGGCACATTCAAGTGGGTCGCCAATCGGGTCCTGTATTAGTTCGGTGATGGACACCATCCTGTGTGTGTGTAATGTATTGTCGTGGGGAAACAGGGGTTGGAGACCGGTCAAGCAGAAAGTGACGTCAGTGGACACGGTTGTGAATGCACCAGAACGAATACCACTAAGGCAAAGACGGCTGCTCATGACAGTCTATTTTGCAGTAACTCGAACATCAAGTTGGAAGTGGGTTGCCTCGGCTGTCATGTTCGTTAGATGATGGACATCAGTAGTCCATTGTCCGTAATGATTGTGGAGAACAAGGGGGGGGAGGGAGGACACCAGATCAGCAGATATGCCCTCCCCTGTCGGGTCAGGGAGCCCAGGTGGTCCCCAGGATCAGGGCCTAGTTTGCAGTGTGTGGAAAGAATCCCACACAAACAGGATAGGTTTTCGGCAGGGCACTTTTCCCTCCAAGAGCATTTATTGAATACGAGCCAATCGCAGCTGGCAGGGGGACTTCGGCGCTCCGATGGGACCATTTAGAGCCTAGCCATTCAGACAAGAGTTCGGACATGGACGATTCAGCAATCAAGCAAGACAATCGAAGCAGCCAGGCCATATTACATACTCCATACCAAACGCCACCGTACAAATGAAATCGCAAGACGCACTCCGACACACATGGCATCTCTCCTGGCCGCCCGCAAGATCGCCTGAAACCGACTCGCCACAGAACTGAGTCACCTTCCATCGAATTTTTCAAAACCAAAGCCAAAATATTCAACTCCTCCCAACTCCCTCGTATTTAAAGCATGCACCGACCTCGCTCGGGCGCAGAAGCTCATGGCCTCGGCCCATGGCAGCCTCAGCCTCAGCACGTACTTGAATGATCACAGCGAGATTCGCTGCGAGCTGAGCTGTCACAGGACTGCGCCCTGGCGCTCAATCGACGCCTGCACCATTCACCCCTACCGTAGTCACAATCCCAGAAATCGCACGGTTCCCATATCCGCTATTTTAATGAAAAATCGAACAAAGGAACAACGAAACCGGCTGGTAGTCGTGCCAAAAACCACAAAGTCAATTCACAGTGTGTGTGCCTACACAGCCAAACGGACGGCCCTTCAGCTCCGCGTTCGCCTCTTCGGAGTGTTCCACTACCAAAACGTGTCCGTCCCAATGGCGTAGGCCGCCATCTCTCTGGCCCAGCCTCCCCAGGGCCCCAGATTGACCAGGAATTGCATCACCAAAGCACTTTCTCCTGACTCTAGAATATTCTCCTAGCAATGCGAATCGGGCCTGGCGCCTCCCACAGCCCGTATCCGTGCAAACATCGTTGGAGGTCATATTGTTTTCAGTTCTTGACGTGAGATCCCTGTGCAGCCGCCTCACTGTTCCGATAGGAAACTGCGCCAAAAAAAGTCCCCCCGCTGCTCCACCACGCCGTTGCAGCACAGCAGTCCACAATCGCCAACCCTTGCAACCCTCTCCGCATCTAATCCACAACCCCACGTGCGCACAGCGAAGCAGTCCAGCCCCCTGCTCAGCCACCCCAACTCCATCACTTGCTTCTTCTCTGAATCGCTTAACCTTTGACAGCATTTGCACAGCGTCTGTTCTGAACTGGCGTGAAAAAGCTAGTGGTAGTTCTTTCCATCCTCCCTCCCTTCCCACCCCCACCCCCACCTACCACCCCACCCATTTTTCCATGTCGCAAGGGACCTGACTGGGCTGCGGAAGCCCATCGATTATTATGTCACTCAACCGGCGGTCCAGGAGGAACCCCCTGCTGAAGCCCCTATCACTAGCCCAAGGAAAAAAACGGCACAGTGTTGTTGTACAATACACACACACTTCGCCCATGTACATCCACCTCAGAATGGAAGTCAGCCGGCGCTAATCCGAGAAACCCACCCAGTCTTGAAACTCAGGCACTCGCATGTCCCACAGAGGGGCCAAGGCATGGATCTTCAGCGGCAGTAGTCATGCCCGCAAACAAGTCGAAAATATTCTTACTGTTCCACAGGGAGCCCCCACGCAGCAGGAAGCGCCCCCCAAGCCATGCGCTCAGAGCCTCACACAGCACTGGTGTTCAGACCTAAGGAACCTGTGTGTGAGGGGGCAGGGAGGAAAATCCACTTGCAAAAACAGCTGGTCTGCGAAAGGCAAGGCACCAATCAAAGAATCAAATACACCGAAAGGGAAGTCATGCCAGCTATGGCTGCGACGCCCTTTTGACAGGACGCCGCTTTTCTCAAGTTTCCCACAATCCTGGTAGTGCGGGCGACCGGCACTCATAAAACGACCGAGCTGCACCGCTTTATTGGCCTACCTACGTCCCGACCCCAAAAGAAAACGTGCTGCCTTTCATGCAAGTCATATCGAGCTGCAGACATTCCTGTCTTCCCCATGTGTGCTGTTTCCATTTCGTTGGCCCCCCGAGGCGCCCCCTCACACGAGGTCTTGTCCCAAGACCTCCCCAGTCACGTTCGTTGCTGCTGCATTCTCACTGCTCTCGCGAAACATCGACGGGCAACGTCCCTTCCCAGCGCTGGGTCCCCAACCGTCCCCTGTGTTCGGAAATCCTAAGCAGGCCCCCTGCTCGTCCAACCAGAAAATCATGAATTGCGAGGAAACCTTGTGCTACCAAAACGGAATCCCAGGCAGGAGGCCCCGATCGGGTCAGCGTCCCGGACAGACAACACCCCGCAGTACCCCGTCGCGGCGAATTGCCACCGCACTGTGGCGCTTAAAACCCCCAACACCCCATTCCCATCCCCAAAATCGACGAGTCTTGGATCCGGCACATTCGCGGCCCCAAGAAAATTCTTCATTTCGCCCCCTCCCTTCGCTTCGCTTCCGATTCTGTAGTTCAGAAAGAGCTGCCCCCTCCCCAAGTCCCACCCACTGAACCCACCAGTAGTCGATCTGTTCAGTAAGAAACAGCCATCGCGCGCGACAACAGGGACGCTGTGGGCATGGGCAGCGCCTCGGGAGGGGGGGACAGGAAGTATCCCGGACCCGCAAAAGTGGCGTCCGCCCTCGCGCAAGCCCTGCTCCCGTAATTCTGGCAGCGCCGATCCTGCACTCGTGGAACCAACGCCTCCCCAACTGACGATGCTGCTGCTGCTGCCTTCTTCCTCTGTGCGGCTCGATCTTCTGCCCTGGCCTTGCCGCCGGCCGGGGCGGGAGGCGACTGGCGCCCATGAGCCGCGCGATCGTCATCTCGCCCAGGGTTGAATGCCCCGTTGCGTGGGGAGCCGTTCCTGGGGGAACCCTTGCGCGGCGACCGCCGCTTGTTCTGGCGCCGGCCCTCAGGCCTGGGTGCGTCCGCCTTCTTTGCTACCCTGCAACGATGCGGCACAGGCGATTCAGCGGGATTTGCAGAATTCGCCCAGTGGAAACAAAGCCAAAACAACAGCTGCAAAACAGCGATAAACAAGAGCTTCGCTGCCCTGCGAAGAGCAGGCACGCCAGGTTCAGCATGATTTCCAAAAATAACCCAGCGAGGGAAGAAATCAGACACACAGCGACAAAAAGGCAGCTCGTTCTGGCGCCGATCCTCCAGCTTGGCGGACCCCGCTCTCTTCGGGACCATGCGCCCCGCGGGGGGGGGGGGCGGCACGACTTCCAAAAATAACCGGGGAGAGCACGGGGAAACGAAAACGGGAGACCGGGCTAACAAGCACGGGAGAACGAGAGAACGGGACAATAGTGGCGGGAGAAAGGAACAAAAATAACGGGAGAAGAGGGGCAACAGCGGCACAAAAGAGGTCTGGGAAGCCTCGTGAGGCCCCGCGGCGGTGGGTAGCTCGGGCGATTCGGCTGGTTTTCCGAGACGCCGGAGGGGGTAAGAAACGCAAAAAGGAGGGGGTAAGAAACGCCCCGCGGTGGTGCGGCAGGCACGATTCGGCAGCATTTCCGAGAATCCCCGAGTGACGAAAGAAAGGAGACGGAAAGACAGAAAAACGGCGAAGAAGAGGAGAGTGGGGGAGCATCGGCCGACCTCGAAGGCGAGGGGCCTCGGGAGGGGGGCGGCGGGACGGGCCCAGCGCATCGATCACCGGCCGAGGAGGATTTGACGCGGACCAGGCAGAGCAGCTGCCGGCGCACGATGTGAATAACTTGAGCCCGAACGACGTCACGCCAAGAGGCTCCAGCGCGGCACCGGCCAGTCCCACACAGCCCCATCTGCCTCAAGCTACGGATCCACGGCACAGGCGCGGGGTGCGGGGGCGGGGGTGGATTAGGGGCCGCCCCGAGATGCCTAGATGCCTGATCTGAACACTCATCTCAGAAATCGGAATTCGGGAGGAACTCCGCACCTGGCGCGGTGCTCCAGCGGCTGGCCCGCGCCCTCCGCCGCCTCCGAGAAGAACGGCACCAGCTGGCGGCCGTAGCCCGGCATGCGCCCCGTCGGCCGCGCCTGGCATGCCTCCACCATCCTCTGCAGCAGGCGCTCGTCGTCGCCCTTGAACAATGCTCTGAAACCTGGCGCGCTGCCTACACGGCGACGCGACCCCAAACCAACTTCCGGAGCAGAAAATCACCACTGTGCCGTCCGACGCCGCCGCAAAACAGCCAAGCCCCTACGACTCCCTCGGACGCGAGGCAACCCGGCGGCGATGCCCTCCGCGTTGCGCGGATGCCGTGACGCACGTTACGCCCGCCGCGCGTCACCCCTCTGGCCGCCCGCTGCTCGGCTGTCCGCCGCTGTCCGCTCACTGCTCGCGCGCTCAAACCCACAACTGCCCCTCCACCCGTGCCGCAACACGCCAAATACCTCACCCCCCAACGCCGGCCCCCTGCCCACGTGATCGGCAAATCATCCCGGATCCGGGTCACGTGGTCCGGATCCGGCACAGTTTCCGGTCCACGTGACCCTGCCCGGGCCTCCGCGCCACGAATTCGGCCCGGCTGATTCGGGGGAAACTGGGGATGGGCGCCTCCTGGGATTCTCGCGTCGATTCTGCCCCCCTGTGTTTGTACCCGGGGGGCCCAAACGCAGAGGCTGGCTGACCGGCACGAGGCTTAGTCAGTGGGCGGCTGGGTGGCCAGTCGGGCGCAAAGTAGGCAGAGTGGGCCGCGTTTGCGTTGGTTGGCTGGGAGCTATGGAGCAGCGATGACCAATGTGGCCTGCGGTTTGGTCGTTCGCCCCCGCGCGGCCGCGCGGCCTCCGGCATGGCTGACGCCTTTGAACTGCGGGGTTTGGCTTCAGAGTGCGTGGAGCGATTCTGACTCCGACTTGCACACAGAATCGGTGCGAGTAGGCTGATACTGTGCCCGACTTTGCGTCCCGTCGCGTGAAACAGGTCAGACGGGTGGGGTGGGGTGGGGTGGGGTGGGGTGGGGTGGGGTGGGGTGGGGTGGGGTGGGGTGGGGTGGGGTGCGGTGGGTGGGGGTGCGGTGGGTGCTTGAGAGTCTTGGTGAGCACTTGGTGAGGGCGTTGTGGCAGCCGGCACGGAGATCCTGGCCGAATGGCGGCCCGAGCGCCGCGCGAAAGCCGGATGACCTTTGGCGGAGGCGAACATGAACTGGAAACAAGCTGAGAGCCAGGAAAAGTTGAGAAGGGCCGCATGAACAAACGAAAGACTGCAGAAGAAGTGGGGCTGCAACAGTCAACCGGCGAATCTTTACGCGTGTCTCACCGATGCCGCTGATCTGTGGGACCTTTCGTCCGCCTCGAGGCGCTGATTTGTCGCGCACGGAGGAGCGATCCTGCAGCAGTGGGACCGACGGGGATGTGGGGGAGTGCGGGCTCTTTGCGCCTCTGCTGGCGAGGGCGCGCTGGACGGTGAGTGGCTGTGCGTGCTCGGGCTGGGTGGCCCCTGTGTGCAGGAGTTGGGCGCCGTTTTGGAGTTTTGGTTTGTGTCTATCTCGCGAATGACAAAAGAGTGCGGGAGCCCAGCATTTGAAGATCGACATCTGAAGATATTTCAGAATCTCAGCGCTTCTGGGGGCCGCTGTCGATCGCACATCGCAACAAGTGTTGTCCATTGTTCAATTGGTTGGATGTTGCTGTCGATTGGAATGAATGGGGCCAACACTGGAAAGCGTTCTGTCTCTGTTCCGGACCAGCAACCAAAGTACGCAACTGGTTGGACCAAAGAAGCGCAGTACTTGTGACCACGTGTACCAGAACATGACAAAGCACAGCCCTCACGTGTACAAGGCGATTATGGGGACAATTCCAGCCACGATGAACTGAAGTGATATCAAATGATAGTGAACTGCCAGCCAAGTGTGCAATTGGATGTGTGGGCATTGACACTCTGTTGCTCTTGAAAGCTTTTGTACTTTCTTTTGTACATTCGTTTCCACAAGAGCTTGTGTATTCTGTTGCACATTCTGTACATTTTTTGTGATATGAAGTGCAGTCCTCTGAATTGGCAAACAAAGCTCCTGCTCCTTGCAGGCGATGATGGGCATGGCAAAAGCTGTGTTGTGTGATGCCTTTGTGTGAAAGGGACAAACTTCCTATCCGGGGTCCAGTTGGGACAGCGCCCAATGCACACTGCATAGGACAGAACTGCACTGTTGGCAGTGGTTCGTTTTTGTCAAATAGCAGGCAAGCACAAGTGCAACATGGACAGAAATATCCATTACGTCCAGAAACTCCCTGCTTGGCAATCTGCTCTTGACTTGTTTGTGAGCGCATAGAAGGTTAATGTGTATCAGGCGCACACTTCAAGGGGACAGTTGGGGAAGGGCAACAGCACATTCTCTGAGTTGTTTGATCAACAAGCCCTCCTGGCTGCTGGCTGTTGTGTGTGTTCCGTTTTGAATAACGCCACTTTTGGTGAAGTGTTCTAAACCTTGTAGTTGTGAAGTCAGAAGGCCTTGTTGGGCTGCTGCAGCACTTACTATTTGGCCCGATGTGGCTTCAGTGCCCTGCGGCACTTACTGTTTGGCCCGATGTCGGTTCAGTGCTCAGCAGAATCTAAGTTTTCTGCTTAGTATTTGAGAATTGAGGAAACAGGGCTGAGTGTACTTTGGGGCGTGGTTTGGCATCTGCTGGACGCTAGAAGCCTGGCCAGTGAGCCTGTTCAATGGCCAATTCCCCCTGCCGAGCAATGCCGTTCTTCCTTCTGGGCATTTGCGGCAATCGGGACACTTTGCCCACGTTTGTGTCTCTCTTAGTTGTTGCTGCTGTTCATTACAAGTGTATTGACAGCTGACTTACATATTGGTGGCCATTGACATGCGCATCAGCCAGCAATATTCATTTCAAAGATGAGTGCACAGCCTCTGGGCCAATGTCTCCCACAAAGCTGCGTGGCTTGGTACAATCACAAGCATGTCATACACAGGGCTATCCTGAGCTTGGGTTCTTTGTGAGCAACTGGACTATTGACTCTTGCCACGCTTCATGGATGAAGACATAGAAGCCTGTTGGATGCATGCACGGACTTCTGCCTTTCCACGTGAGATCTTCCACTAGGCTGCCACGCCAGTGAACACACCAAACGCCTGCTTGTCAGAGCTGTGGCCGGGACGCAGTATCTGTGAAATGTGCATGCAGTGGCCTTGTGTGTCTTTCTTTCATCTGTCTTTGTGTTTTCTGGTTGCTGTGCTAACAGTCATGTCCTGCTGACATCGACATAAGCACCTGCCAGTTTGCACGAAAAGCACATGTGTACTTTGGGAGGCCCACTTTGTTGTGCAGCGATAACGTGATTGTTGTCTTCAGCGCCCTTTGCTTGGGGAAGGGGGGGGAGCATGGTGCACGGCGATCGGGTACATTTGGCCAATGAGCTGTTGGATGCCATGGAAGATTGCCTTAAGGGGATGCACGCAGATCGCCTGACTATGGAAAGGTACGCTTGCTGTGTGAATCGCCACTTGCGTCAGTGGGCCACTGAAGCCACAACGGTGCTGCAAGCTTCAGGCTTTGTCCCAGCCCTGGGTACTGTGTACGCTTGGTGGCAACATTCATAGATGTACAGGAGTTGGTACTGCTGCCGCATCTGTGCATCATGGACAGTCGCTTGTCTTTGTTGGTGGGGGTGATGAGTGTCGATTTTGCAAGGGTGCACCGATTGTAGCAACAAGGGGATGTACATATGGCGAGACTCACATGCGTCGTTGAGCTGGATGTGTGGGATGTGGCCAAGCTACATAGTTGGGCATTGACCACCTGGCACCCATGACAGCCCTGAAAACAATTGCATTGGCAGGCTTCCATGCGATGACAGACATGGGATTCAAAGTGCAGGTGGCGTTGTTAGCACTTGAAGGTCGCATTGGGTTATTGCTGGTCAAGCACAGTTGTTTGAGAGGCGATGACATCCCCATCTGCAGCAGGCCTAGATCGGGGATTTTTTGTGTCGCGGACGCAGTGGCAAGAAGCTTAGCATCCATGACGTGACCTCTCTGCCACCGCTGGACTTGAATGGCTGTCCCATCGCAAATGCAGAATTGACATTACTATGGTCGCTTATCACTTTTAATGCTGTGCATAGAGCATTGTCATAAGATCACCGATGTGGGAATGACGTGTGCAGCGGTGGCAGCATCCTTAGAACTATTGGACGTGAGTTGGTGCAAGAGTACAGACATTGCCAGGCACTCAGGTAGCCTTTCGCTGCTCACTATCGTGGAATCGGCATTCTGTGTAGAATCACAGATGCAGGGATGTGCTGCCTGGCTGCGACGCCATCAATCATGGAGGTGTGTTTGGGGGGTTTGCCACAGAATCACAGATGCTGATGTGAGGAGCTTGGGCCGTCTCACAGCCCTCGAGCTCGGAGCCTGTTGGACCAGCTGCTGTCGATTTTTGTTGTTGAGCTGAGTCAGTGTACGCTTCCTTTAAAGGTTTGCTGTTTTGCCGTTCTGGGACCAGCTGCTGTCGATTTTGCTGGTGGCTTGAGTCAATGTATGCTTCCTTTACAGCTTTGCTGTTTTGCCTTTCTGGGCTTTTCAGTTTTGGTTAAGGGACTGGCACTGGTCGCTGCCAGCGGTCCTTGCCTGTGTGCGGCCTGTGGCATTTCGACAGCTTCCACCAACACAAGGATTGCTTCATACCATTGACAACCATTCCTGGACAAAAGATTCGATGCATGGGCGTGGCCGTTCAGAGTGGGCTCCTTGTGATGAAGAGCATCTGAGAGTCGCCGTGCACTGGAAGTGATGTTGAAGTCGCAAAGGGCTTGCGGGATAAGAATCTAACAATCGGTGCCAAGCAACCTTTCAAGCAACGTGGGTAGCAAAGCACCACCAAGCACCGATCCTTGAATTGCACGGCAGCGAGTCCTCCAACATTGCATAAGGCTGATGGCCCTGTGCATTCAAGGGCGCAGTGCACTGGAAGGCTGGAGGATTTTGCTGCTTTGATCCAACCAATGCCAAAGTCGAAGGCCACCAAGTCTTGACAATGAGGTTGTTTAGGGACATGGCTGCGCCCTGGGGAACAGAATCACTACCTCTTGCACTGTAGGTGACTCAGTGCATTTGGAGCAAGTGTAAGTGAGTACTGCCGAGTACTGAGCCCTGTTACCACACTACCCGAAAGGATGTTATCCAGTGACCGCTTTTGATGCGTGCAGGTTCAATCTTGGAACGTTGCTCGCCCCGAGTAGCGGCAAGCACCTCCTGGCGTTACCCATATCGAAGCAAGTGCGGAAGTAACAACTATGCGATTTTGGCTGTTTGGGCCTACTCGGGGCAGCCACACAAGCGCCCTAATGAGAAGATTTCAAAGACCCCACCAGTATTCCCAGCCACCCACCCGCCCGGCGTTCAGCGCCCTCATGCATGGCGCTGGCCAAAGTGTTGTTCGCCCTTTTCGCCGGACGTCTTCAGTGGCCACTGGCCGCTCTCGACGCCCGGCAGATTTGAGCATGCGCCGCGCGGATCGCCCGACATCGAGGCAGCGGAGCCATCGGCAACAACTTTGTCGCCCATCTTCCAGCAAGCGTCGCTTGGGCATATTGGCGATGGCGAGGACTAAGAACCACTGGACATTGCGCACCGCAACACAAGGCGCTGGATCAAGAAACGATGAACTCAGTGCTGTTGTAATTAGAACTGACTGAGTGCCGTTCACAGGCGCACGCATAGAGGTGATGAAACATTAGGAACTGCATTTAAGCGCTTGGTGAACGGACTGGATGTGACGGACGGAACTCCTGTTGTCGCATTGCTCGGCTGTCCACCGCCGCCACGGCCCCGAGCCTGCGGTGCTCGTTCGCGGGTCGCCTCCACTGGACCCTGCCTGCCTTCGTTGACGCTCAGGCCTGCAGGAGTCATTCTTCTTTTCTTGATGCAGTGGCGCCAGCGCCTCAGCCACGTCGGGCAGGCGCGCCAAATCGGCCCCCCCCCGCAGATCTGCATCTTCCCCACCCCCAGTACATACCCCCAGTACTCCCACAGTACATTGGACCCCACTTAGAACACGCGGTCGCCTACCCTCCGCTCAACTCGATCCGGGTAGATCCCAAATCGGTCCGCGCGCCGCCGCCGGGCACGGCCGTGACAAAAGCGCAGCCAGCCCCCTTTCACGCCTCCCCCGCACATTGCAGTATCGCAACCAAGCCAACGGCCGTCCCCGCGGGGACAGCCCTCCTGTCGGGAGCGCCGCGCAAACCGCGGGCGGGGTAGCTTAGCGCGCTTCAGCCGTGCCGCTCTGGGCGGGGCGGCGCGGAGATCGGCGCGATCGAGTCGCCGGTGGCGCCGGACGAGCCCCGCCGGCTATTCGGCGGCCCTGTCTGGCACCCTGCCGAAGAGCAAGGTAGGGTGCGGGGCGGGTTTGCGCCTCCGTGCGGAGACGGTTTGGCTGGATTTTGGTCGAAATTTTGGCCTGTTGGGCTCTGCGGTGGCCGGGCTGCTGCCTGGATTGGACGTGTTGTCGGGGAGGGGAGAGGGCTTGGGTTTTTTCTTCCCGCGCGCTTGGGCAAGCGCGCGGGAACGGGGGGGGAGACGCGGAAGGCCCAGTGTTTTGCTTGCGCCAGGGCTGCAGGTTGCGTGTGGGGTTTGAAGTTGGGAAGTGGCGTGCAGCAATTGAGAGGGCCCGTGGCAACGGCGGGGGCCGTTGGCCCTTGGGTTGGCGCCTCCCGTCCAACCGCTTGCGGGTTTAGTAACTCCGCCGCGGCAGGAGGGCCGCCGCCGGCCGCCCGCGGGGGGTGGCGCCCGCGCGGGCCCGCCAAAGCGGCCGAAACCTGTGGGCAATCGAGGGAGGATTGGCGGCGGGGGGTTTCGGATCGGCGATGGGGTTTGGGACGCAGGGCCGCGCCAATTGGCCCAGCCATGCCCAGCCTTCCGCGGGGTCCGGCCCCCCCGCGCGCCGTGCTCTCCCGGCCAGAATTTGCATCTTTGGGCAGGATTGGAGCTGGCTGGATGCCTGTTTGCCGGCATTGGTGGAAGATCCGTTCTTAGGCGTCCTGTGTATGTGTGCTCCTGCGCAGGGGGCTCAATGTATTTGGGCAACCGCGCCATGGGGGACAAGTGCGGGCCCTTCCCGGCGGTGGGCACGCCGGGCGAGCGCTCCAAGTGGGACCTGCCGGTGGGTGACGGCGACCTGACGCGGATCCATGCCCCTAATCCCCGCTCACTCTTCGGGACTTCTGCCTATGATCTGCTCCCCACCCTGGGGGTCGATTCCCACTGACTCCAGGGGCAGGATGCCGCGGTTCTGCCCCACTCGATTCGCGCGCGGTGCCAATCATGTGCGCATGCCGTCGTGGCATTGCGGCGGTTGGTAGCCTGCTTTCCCGCCAGCCGCCGGGGTTTCGATCGCATTTCGGATCGGTGGGGTTCCCGTTTTCTTTTCCCTGTTTTGTTGGGTGTTGGCGCTCGGGAGTGCCGCGCCCCAACGCGCGCCATGGCGGGGGAGGTGTGGAGTCATTGTGGGCGGGCGCGCGGGGACTGGAAAACTCGCGCTGTCGCGAGCGGGGTAAGATCGTCGCAAGAAGGAATAATGAGGCATGACCCCGCTGTTCGTCCGCCAGTGAGGAGATTTAGCGGGACCCCCACGACAGAACAGCGAGGGCCAATCCCGCTTATCGTCCGCTTTGTCGGGTGGGGTAAGATTGCTGCAAGGCAGAATAGCGAGGCATGACCCCACTGTTCCTGCACCTTGAGGGGGTTTTGGCGCGAGCAACGGGACAGTATAACGAGGGGCACATTCCCAGTTTTCCTCCACCACTGAGGAGATTCAGGGGCATCCCCGAGACAGAATGGCGAGGCATAATTCCGCTGTTCGTCCGCCCTGAGGAAATTTGTCGGGAGCCCCGACACAAAATAGGGCGAGGTACCTAATGCGGGGAAATTGAGGGCCGGATGCCGCTTTGGCTCCGGGCTGCGGTCGCCCTGCACGCTCATCTCCGCGGCCAGCGCCTGCGCCGGCGACAAAGCCGCGACATTGTCCTTGGCGAGTTTTGGATTGTTGTGCCTCCGAGCCATTGTCCGCCGATGTGGCGGTCCTATCGTTGTGCCTGAACGCGGCAAATCTTTTGGCATGTTCTCTTCACCAACTGACGTCCAGCGCCCTCCAGGGGCCCGTTTTGGCAATCCACAGCAACGATGTCAGCGGTCTATTTGCTTCTTCAAACCAGGGTTCAGCCAACAGGCCATGCACCTGGCTTATGGCAGTGTTGTTCATCGCTGTGAATCGGATAGCTAATGTCATGTTGCCCTGGCTTGTGTGTTGTTGCTCATGACAGTGATGCCGACACCTGAATGTGCTGGTACCAGGCTGTGGCGTTGTTGTGCATCACAGCAAAACCAATATGTAATTGTCAAGGCACCCTGACTTGTGTGTGGTCCTCCCGCAGCCCGCCAGCGTGCCCATGGACCGCGTGCGTTCCCCCCACCCTCGCTTCGGGGGCTATCCAGATGTCCCAGCCGCCCTTGCACGCAGCATCACGCCCTCATCTGCAGCGGGGGGCGGCGACTGGGTACGAGAGCGCATGGCTCACCTCCGCGTGGCCAACTCCCACTCGCCTGGCAACCTGACGCCGAGGAGCACGGTGTCCGTTGCATCTGGGGCGCCGCCACCGCAGCAGGTGGAGATGGTCAAGGCGATGGTGGGGAGTGTGGAGGAGAACGAGGCGTCCATTCAGCGCATCAGGAAGGAGTGCATGAGGGCCATGGACACCCTCCTGGACCGCACCGAAAAGGAGAAGACCCTCAAGTATGGGGCGTGCGTGCGTGCGTGCGTGCGTGCGTGCGTGCGTGCGTGCGTGCGTGCGTGCGTGCGTACGAACGTTGCTGTGCAGTGTTCTGGGGGAGCATCGCTTTTATGTATCATTTTGATCATGGGCACTGGAGAGCTCCGAGCTGGGTTGCTGCAGCTAAGGGATGGGTGCAGTCTGGCCGCACCAGGCTGTTGAACTAAACTGTGGATCGCAGCGCACCAGGGTCTGCCTGGACAGTACCTTGCCCCAGTATGTGGCAGTGTACTCTAGTTGCTCTGCAGACGCAGAGTCACTCTCCTCGTTGGTTTGATGTATGATGTGGGAGTTCTGGTGGGACACAGTTCTTGGTTGCATTCAATTCTGGCTGTTGAAGGTCCTGGCGACTTGGTTACAATGTATCAAGGGGCGGGGTGGGGTGCGGTCGATTTCTGTTGCTCTGTCCATTTGGTTACAATGTATCAAGGGGCGGGGTGGGGTGCGGTCGATTTCTGTTGCTGTGTCAATTTGGTTGCAATCCCTTTGCTGCCTGATCCCTCCGGTTGTTCACAGCTACCCCACCCGTCCCTTTGTCCCATCTAGACTCAGTACCGGCAGGTGCCATGGCCAGAATGATCGTCTGTTTGTGCTTTGCTGTAAGGGAAGCATTCGCATGTTATTTCGTTCGTTCCTTAGTCAATGTGAAGCTGCGTGATTGCTGCTTTGTCTGATTGTGGTAGTTGTAGCCAACCGTATTGACCCTCTGGAGTTGGCTCCTGATCCGCGCTGGCTCTGGGTTGCAGGAATTTCCTTGACCAGTGCAGCACATCCACGAAGACTATGTGGTCCCGAAATCAGATGCTCATGCAGTCCAATGCCAAGATTCGCCAGCAGCTGAAGGAGCTGATGGGCAAGGCCTCGTCCATGTCAGGGAGCAGCGTTTGCAGGTGAGTGGCTGACAGTCTCTTGACAGAGCGTGCTGTGTACAGGGTTCATTTTCTGCAGTGAACTAGTCGGATATTGGGCAGGGACGCAATACGTGTTACTTATACAGTCTAAAGGCCACAGAAAAACTTGTATGTTATGTTGGTAGAATGTGGGAGGCATGTATGGAGTGAAACACACTGTAATTTATTATTCTGTAAGTGCCTATCCAGCAGCATTCAGAGAATGCGGCTGCAAACTGTGAGGGCAAACACTCTGGGGTGCGAACAGTGTCACACATCTTTCGACAAGTGCATGGCCAATACTTGCCCGTATTTGTGCTGTTCAGTGTTATTGTCATTTCTTGCTACTGTTGATCTTTTTCCTCTGTCCTCAAGCAACCAGCGTTTTTTTTTTGGAAGCAGTGCTGTGCCGTGCGCTTGCTATTTGTTTTGGAGAACGAAAACCGGTGCACCCAGCGCGAGTAGAGACAATGCCCTTCACAGCTTGAAGAGAAAGGATAAGTGCCTATCGCAGCGCTGCAGACCCACGCAGCTCAACTGAGAGAACGAGCATTCTCTGGCCATATCCTTGGCAGCAAGAAGGAAACATAGGGAGCCAGTCCAGCAGTCCAGTGTGTGTGCCCAATTTGCACCAATCCTCAGAGAGAAAGCCAAAAGAAATTCGCACTCCCGCCTCAGGTTTACAAATTTGATTATTCACAATGGAGTAAGTCATTTTTGACGTTGATGACTGTTTGACCTCTGACAGAACACTGCCATTGTTTGCCATGGGACATGTCGGTTTCTGCAGTAGCGATTGCTTTGCATGGACTTGAAACTTATTGCTGTAGGCTCTTTGTGTTTTGGTTTGGATTTAGGGAACAGCAGCAACAAAAGGCTTGCGCCGTTTGGCGAAAAGATTGGGACACTTGAATGGATGTCCTAGTTCCTATGAGGCTGTGGGATACCTGCGGTGGCAAGTTGGAAATGGTACAAGTCGCTGTTGACATTGAAGCTGTGTCTGGAATAGCAGTAACCTTCAGATTGGTCCTTGCCCACTGTGGACGTTCAAAATCAGGCCAGAATGTGAACTGTGCTGGCTCGAAATGTCCTCTCTGGATCGTGAAGGGCTTGTTTCACTTTGCTTCATAGGGAGCCGCTCACTGTGTTCCCCCCGTCTCCCTGAAGATCGGCGATCGAGACACCAAGCCCCATTCTCAGCGCTGCCACAGCACCGCCAGTGCATGGGCGCGCCTGAGCCGTGGAGCTGGGCATCCGGGGGATTTAGGAAGGGCCAGTTGTATGCATTGGTGTTTGCGTGAAGCTGTTTTGTGTGCCAAAGGCATGGCAGGCAGCCTGCTCCCAGGTGGCTTCCAGAGACTAATGTCGGTGTGAGGCTGGCGCCGTTTCACCTGACAAGCGGATTTGAAGAGGCTGTCTGTACATGCGAGAGTTGGATGGACACGATGTTGAGCTCTTTGTGGCGCGGTGTTTGGAGTTGGGTGCGAATGTGAAACGGGGGTGGAAAACATAAAAATGCCTAGAGAAAAACACGGAAGCAAAAAAAATAAAAGCCTGCAATGTACACGTTGGGCCGCATCGGCGTTGGGAAATGCTCTGTACATTTTGGCTGAGGGGGCGTGGATTCTTTATTGGCCTTCTGGCAAGCGCTTGGGGCGGGGGGTGGGGTGGGATGTCAGGGCGCGATGGGGGGGGGATGGGGGGAGCGGGAGGGGGGGCGGCAGAACCAGGATCAGGTGCCAAAATTTTGCGGGGTGCTTTCTTTAGCTGGGATTTTTGCTGGTGTTGTTTTCAGGGCGAAACCACAATCTGCGAACTCCCAATGACTAATAGAATGGAGCCAGGCCCTAGGATTTAGGTCTAGGGACTGCCTTCTGGGACCGTTGCCTGTAGCAAAGGGCGGGCGCGTGTGCCTGTGTGCATATGACTGCTCGCAGCACAGCGCGCCTCCCTGTGAATTTCGTTGTGAATTTCGGATGATTTTCGACGCACCGAGTGAACCGGACGAGAGAAAAACCTGCCGCGAGGCTTCCCTGCTGCATGGGATGGGTGTGTATCAGCTGACCTTGGTTGTTGAGTGTTGCTGCCCCCAGTCGTCCTTAAGGTCCACTTACTTGTACCCCCCTTGGAGGAACAGCATCCCACCCCGGATAGGCGCCCCTTTAGTGTCCCACAGAAGACCAAACCTGTTTTTTGATCCCGCATTGAAGGACTTCAGGCTTTTACTTGGAAGGAGGGGGGCGGGCGAGCGGGCGGGAACGGGATGTAGGGCTCATGAACCAGCCGGAACGATGTTAATATCGACGATACAGTACTGGCCGAAAGTGGTGTGCGGCGGTACTTTAGCAGTACTGGGTGTTGGTTGGGGAAAGATGTGTTGCCACGTGGCCGGGCCCTGGTTGGGCCCGTCCAGGTGGCCGTCTTTGTTTGACAATGGGTTCTGGAAAAGCGTGTGTGTGTGTGAACATGTTCGCGGTATGACTTGATCTAAAGCGGAATTCCCTCCTGGGTGTTGACTCTGCGATTGCAATGTTGTCGGGTCGTCTCTGTCGCTCCTCATCAAGCCCATGTTTGGCTGCGGCGGGGCCCTTTTCGTTGGGACGGCGGTTATCGTCACGTGATTGGTAAGAGGTCCCGTTCATTTTGGCGAGTGGCTGTCGCTGTAGCCGCAGCCTCCAGGAGCTAAGTGTAATTGCACGTTGCTTGCGGCCGAGGGCATAGCCCTCGGCGGATATTCATGCCTGAGACGGTCCCGCACAATCTGCGAAGTTGGGAGCCAGATCCCGGATTCGAGAGCACCGAGGGACGGTGGTTTAAGTACAGCGCTACTCCCACAACGTTGCAGCAGTTGTGCGAGGCCCCATGTCCGACTCTGGTCTCTCGTGCCGCCGGGCTGTGGATCTTGCGCCATGCTTGGGCCTGCAGGTTGCAGAGTTGATGCGCATTAAAGCCGCTGATTCTGTGGCTCTGGTGCGATGCCCCTCTGCAATGTTGTGCAATTCCCTTGCCCCAAGCACCTGGGCCCCTGAGTGCCGTAGGGCTGCTTGGCCGCACCCTTCGCAGTTGGCTGATTTCTGTATTGTTCGATTTCTATATTGTTCTGCATAATTCTATGTATAGTTCTATGCTCTGCGCATGGCTGACGGTGGTGACACGTGCTCGGCCGCTGCACGAGACCATCCCATCCGGAGAGCACAGCATGGGGGAAGGCGTGCCTCTTGTCGTTTTCACCCGTCGCGCACTTTGCTCTCACTTCGAATGCCTTGATCAATTTCGTGTGTTGGTTTTCGTCGTGGGGTGTCCACAGATGGTCTGCAAACACTATCGGTGGAAAGTAAATCACGACGCTCGATACTTTGCAGTACTGAGTGGGCCATTTCTTCCCTGAAATGGCGTTTGCAGTGTTTCGTTCTGTGTGGTGCGCGCCCGGCATGTGTGCCGCAAGAGCCGTGCTCCTGGCCGAACGGCTCGGGGCGTTTTTGTCAGTCTCTTGGCCGCCGCTGGCGTTCATTCACGCGCCCAGGCAGATCGGCTGGTGCAGCAGTGGGCCGCTCCAGTTCAGCGCGGAAAGAAGCGGGCGGACGGCTGTCCCCAATTGGCAGCGAGTGCTGTTGTGCTTGCAGAATGGAATGTTGTCCGACCTAACGTTGTGCTTGTTGGCAGAAGACGGACAACAACCTGGGAGGCAGGGGCGTCCGTTCACTTGTGGGGAACGACTCGACGAAAGCAGCAGGGACGCCCTTTGGGGCGCGAGGCATGTAGCCAAACTGCGAATCACTGGAATTTCCAATGCCAAGTACTTGGAAGACTAGTCTTGCAACCACTTTGGACGAAGCGGCATTGCCATGCTGTGAAAAGGTGCGCTGGAGTGTCGCGACGGTGCGGCGTTCGTGAGGGACGTTGCCGTCGGATGGACGTTACGGTGGCGATGGACATTACCATTGGCGAATTGCCACGTCGAAGATGATGGCGAGCTGGCACCAGCAGCGGCGGGCGCGCAGGGCTGCCTTCTGTCGGGCGTTTCGAAGTTCCAGACTCGCAGCTGGCCACAACTGGGGCAACCGCTGGCGCCTGTGGCGCACGCGCACTGAAACGTGACACAACGTTTCGGAATCCGAAAACAAACTGGGGCAGCCGTCGAGCACGCAACGCGACGGTTGCCGTATCAAGGGCCTCTCGTCCATGCGCCGCTTGCGCTTTGCACACATCCCGACTCTTGCACCATGTTGCTTTTTCCAAAATTCCAACGCCAGTTGCTGTTGTCTTTTTGTCGACGCACGGAGAGCTGCAGCGGTGAGGGGTGGGGAAGCTTCTCATGCAGAATCCGTGCAGCTGTGAGTACAGTCCACGTTCGTGGACATCTTGGGCCTGCATCGTGGGGAAATGGCAGGACCCACATTTTTGTGGGGCGGCCATCAGGGGATGTCCAGGATGTTGTTACCATAGCTATGTTCGGTGTTGGGAGCCCAATATAAAACTTGGGTTGGCGGGAAATTGGGGATTGTCGGCTTTTGTCCTGAGCAGACATGTTTCCCCGCGACTGCTGGCCCTAAAACAGTCTACTCGCGTGTGTGCCGATGTGGCGCAGTTATGGCTCAAGATGCTATGAGACACTGACGAAGGCAGGCAGGGTCGAGGGGTGGCGATCCCTGAACGGGAATCGTACGCTCAAGTCCACGGCAACGGTTTACAGCCGAGGCAAAAGGACAACAGACGCTCTGTCCTTTATACCCAGTCTGTTCATCAACATCCTTAATGTAATTCCTAGTGCTTCGTCATCTTTTCATACATTCAGTTATTTATAACACTCAATCAGTTCTAGCCGTAACAACACCTTCACCTACGCTTGCATGATAGAGGGAAATGGGGATAATTGGGGATAATTGCGCCATTTTTAACATTTTATATATTTAATTTTGTTGCTGGCGAAGCACGTTCCCGTAGTCTAGTGGTTAGGACTCCACGTTGTGGCCGTGGCAACGAGGGCTCGAATCCCTCCGGGGA